TTCATGAAGAGGAACCCTGGGCAGCTTGATTGAGTGCTTGGCAACCTGCCCACAGCAGGGGGTTGGAGCTTGATGATCTTTAAGGTCCCTATGAACCTCAGCCATTCTATGATTCTGTGACAACGCAGGAGTGCTACAAGTTTTGCCTTTCCGACTAGAAAACACCGGTTTTAAAACATTTTAAGTGCAAGAGACTGGGAAGGAAATTGATTCCAAAAGTCATCTAATTATCATTTGGCTTTTCTTCTTACTGTTCTTTCTATTTTAAGCTTGAACGTTAGCCGAAATTCCCTTTAGGCAAGTTCTGCTACTCTAACAAGATCCAACTGGTCTGATTCATAGAAGGGTGTGAAGCTGTCATCAACCAAATTCGTTTTGATTTACCTTTGTGAAAAAAATCGCTTGCACTTAGAGGATCTAACGGCTTAAGAATTTGCTGTTCCAGTGGCTTCATCAGCAGCATCTGTGGCTGCCCCAGAACTCTCAGCCATCAGGCATCTTTTAGGCTTAGGGATTTATGAAGCTGCATTCAGCATCACTACACAGCGGGGCATCATTCTACAATACACTGTGAATCTCAGATTTCATGCAAACCTTATTATTAATCACATCTGAATGCTGTGAGAAGGTTTTTCATGTGAAGTATTCTGTCTTCAGCCCCTAAGACAACACCAGCTAAATCATCTCAGGTGTCTGACTAGCTAAGGGAACTTAAGCAAACAGCATAATGAAAACTAAGCAATTTTACCTTCTGATACAGTCTGGAAAAAGCTGTACATTCTGACATCTAGCCTGAAGTGTCCCCAAGTAGATGCTTTCATGCTAGTCTACGTTTCTCCAGCAGTCAATACAGAACTACTCACTACAGCTAATGAAGTCAAGAGCCATTCAGTTGTCCAAAAATAGGCAGATTTATCCAGCTTACAGTGATCTGAATAGCTTGCTGAACCAGCTACGAGCAGGGCTCAGCTTAGTGACAGCTATGATGGTCTGAGATATCAGGCTCCCACATGAGACTGACAGATATGACAGTTCTGTGGGTTTTTGTAGGAGACTTGAATGTTCTTGGAACAGGAGCTGGAGGCCAGGTAGGAGATTCCACAATGCCTTAAATGGCATTAGATGCCTGCATTTATGTAATTAAATCCCACATTAGTTCTCTACTGAGCATCAAAGGATCTTAGACATCTGGTTCACACAGACACACCTGCACAGTTAAACACAAGTGTAGGTGCCTTAAGCTGCTAGCTGAATCCACTCCTTTACCTGGAGATTTCCCGAGCTGGCAGCTGCATTAGCATTATGCTAAACATGCCTCAATGGACATATTCTCCCTGTCCACATCTAACTCATTCAGGAGCACAATCATATTTTTGACCTCCCCAATATACTTCTAGCAATTTGCAATTATAACTCAAGGGAAAACATAGTTCCCTTTGTTTCTTTTAAAGTTATTGCCTGAAAATTTCACTCCAGTGTCCTAAATCTTGTCTTTCATTCCTACCCTAATATTCCCAATAAGCTTTTTGCCTTTTCACCTACCATGAATCACAGAACTGGTGTTTTCAATAGACTAGCCACAACAGCTCCACAGTCTTCCCAGTGCGCTCCTAATGAACTCAGGGGTATGTGGGATGAACTTGTTCTACAGGCTTTTCTCAGTGGTAGGAAAGCAACCTCTCTCCTATCCCGACACCTACTTTTGCAAAGCTACTCAGAATATAATCTCTTTGAGATCTTCACCCACTGTCAAATTTGTTGAAAACGGCCCCAAGAGTTTAAAAGCATTTGAGAAGAGAGAACAGATCAGATAACCCACATACATATTCCAAATAGTCATTTGACCTTTTCTTTTTCAGAAAGAGCAGGCAAAAGAAACCCTATGTGATATGCAGTGAAAACAAGCGGTAGAAAATTCTGAATAGAATGCCCAGTGCTTACAAGGGCTTGTTTACCCTATTCCAAACTGTAATCATATAGAAATTCTAACAGAGAATATGCAGACTCTGCCTTTAGTCGTGGACAACCCGCACACAAACTTACACAAGGAAATCACTGAAATAAATGCATTTTTTCCTGGTTATTATAAGAATAGTTGGAGTTTCCACCATCTCCTCTATCACAGCTGGCCAATAGCTCTACATATCAGCTGGAGACATTTGTTCTGCATGATCTGCATTTTGAAGAATAATATGTTAGTTCTGTTCAGGGATATTCCTCTTCTTTGTATTGAAGAGTCAGTGTAAAAAAAGACACAGAATTTATCTTTTGTAGCTCAATATCTCTTTCTCTTCTGTCCTTTCTGTGCATAACATGTCAATAAATATAATTTCAGTGTTTGAATACACATAGATTCCAAATTCTGAACATAACTCATATTGGCAGAGCATTAACTTGGGTTAATATTTCTAGCCAGCATCTATATACAAATCCTTGACTCCTGCTATGAACATACAGGAAGAGAAGCAATCAGTTAACATTAATGACTTATTATAGAGCATATTAAACAATTGGGCTGGGCAGATTATTAGGGATTTTAAGAAATGACAGACGTCTCAAAGACCGTACAGTAAATGAAACTAAAAAGTAGCAGTTCATTAATTGTTAATAAAATGATAATCCAGGCAGCAAGGAAACTCTCTGCAGTAAGAACTAAAATAACTGCTTGGGTAGATTAAGTAATTGGAATTTGGCAAGAACTACCAAATTAGGATTACAACAATAATAAATCTGCACGAAGCAGATAGCATATGTGCTGAGGCTGCTTTTACCTAAAACTGCTTCACACATACCTAAAATCCTCAGGCTAAATTATTATGAACGAGAGATCAAAGCTTCACATTAGCCATTATGAAACAGAAATTACGAAAAGCTGGCTGATGGGGATGCTAACTACAAGGCTATCTCATTGCACACATTACTTTTATCTTGATCCCTGCTGCCTCCTTGTCATCTGCCAGCTAACCCTGTCACTCTTCTCTTACTGAAGCTGCTGAGTACATGCTGCCTTTTTGGTTCCAGTATTTTAAGGCTGTAATTAAAGCCTTTCAACAAATCCTGCATTTTGCTCTATTTGTGTCATTATAAAGCATCTTATTGTAAAGTTCGGGGCAGTAATGCACCAAAGAAGGGACTCAGTGTGTCAAGCCTGTTGAATTTCCACTAAAACAAAAAGGTTTTATTTACTAAAATAAAATCCACCATCCTCAAAATGTCACTCAGCAGCTAGCTATCAGATGGTGCAGGCAGCTCAAGTTCTGTATCTGGGTATGCTCACAAAAGCTTCCAGTCCTGACTATGCTGTGCAAGTCATCACTTAGTTCATTCCTAAACCCCACCAGGATTTACAAACCCAAAATGTCTTTCAGTCTCACACCTCAATGACATGTCACGTTCTGCACAAATATGGATGAGTGGTGAAGCCACCCCACCATCCTTTCATCATTGGTTAGATCATTTATTCTGGATCTGAAAGATCTGAGAGTTCAGCATGCCACTCCATCTGAAAGGATATGAACTCTCGCACATTAACTGCCAAGCTGACATTATTTCAGCATAGCTCTGGCTAATTTCTCTCAGCTCTCTCTCCATTCTGCAAGTGGTAATCACTGGGTCAAAAGAACAAGTGTGATAATGAACAGTTAGGGCCTGATTTCAGGTTTTTCCCTTCTAAGGAACTAACCCACAACCCCTACAAACTTATTACTTCCCATAGCTTAATTAGTATTTAATTACACATGCAGAGCAGAACAGCTCCCAGAGGAAGTACTGAACACACTCTGCTGGGGCACATACTAAGTGTCAGGCTGGTACTTCTATTCCCCAAGGTAGGGAAAGAAGTTAGTCCTATACACGCTTGACAGCTTCACAGCAAAGCAAATAAAGATATTTAGCCCAGACATTTCCTGTCAGCCTAACCTCCACTTGTTTCTTTCCTCCCATTCAGAGATCTATGATAAATACTTCCAAATGTCATTCAAGGACACGAAGCCCAAAGCAGGACCTCCTGAGGAGACTGGAAATGGCTTCAGTCTTCAGAGAAAACCACAACATAACTCCTGCGGGCCTTACTGCATCCAGGTGTGGGGCTACCAATAGAGGAAAGATGTGGAGCTGGAGGACTGGGTCCAGAGGAGAGCCGTGAAGATGATCAGACGGCTGGAGCACCTCTCCTATGAAGACGGGCTGAGGGAGCTGGGCTTGTTTAGCCTGGAGAATAGAAGGCTGTGAAGAGACCTCATTGCAGCCTTCCAGTATTTCAAAGGGGATTATAAAAAGAAGGGAAATGAACTTTTTACTCGGGTAGACAGTGATAGGAGAAGGGAGAATGGTTTTAAGCTCAAGGAGGGAAGGTTTAGATTGGAAGTTCTTCACAGAGAGAATGGTGAGGTGCTGGAACAGGCTGCCCATAGAGGCTGTGGATGCCCCGTCTCTGGAAGTGTTCAAGGTCAGGTTTTATGGGGCCCTGGGGCAGCCTGGTCTGGTATCATATCTGAAGGATGGTGGGCCTGCCCATGGCACGGGGTTGGAGATTCACGACCCTTGAGGTCCCTTCCAACCCAAGCCATGCTATGATGCTATGATTCCCAGTCTCTGACCAGATGTGCAGAGCTTTGGGCTGTGCAGACTGAAGGCTGCACCTCCATCTCCAAACCCCTCTGTGCTTCAGTGCTCAGCGACAGAATCACAGAATGTCCCGAGCTGGATGGGACCCAAAGCAGCTGCCTCCAGCTGCCGGTTCCGCACAGGACCAACCAAACCTGTCTCAGAGCGGTGTCCCAACGCACCGTGAGCTGCAGGACTCGGGGCTGTGCCTTGCCCTGAGCAGCCCGTTCCATGCCCACCGTCCTCTGGGTCACAACCCTTCCCTCACCCCCAGCTGCCTCTCCCCTCATAGCTCCAGCCCACACTGGAACGACTGGACAAACCCACACCCCGCCACACCACCACCGCCATCTTGTCGGCCCCTTAGCCCCGCCCGTCATGGCGGCCGCGCCCCAGCGTGTCACATGGCAGGGGCGGCCGGGGAGGGAGAAGGAGGAGAAAAAGGAGGAGCAGAAGGAGGGGTTACGTGGAGCCGGCGCCGCCGAGGGCGCGGGGCGGTGTGAGGGGCCATGCTGCCGCCGCCGCGGTGAGTGCGGGGGAGCTGGCGGTTCTGAACCGCGTGGGACGGGGGCGGCGGGGCGACCCGGGTGGGGAGCTTAACCCCACCGGCGGGGACGGAGCTCGGGGCTGGGGGCTGCGCTGCGCCGGGTGGATGGCGGTGTAGTTTTGTTGTTGTTCCTGTGCTTTTCGATGCGTACGTTGTACCATCGAGGCTCCCTTTCCCCCCGCGCAAATGCGCGCTGTGTTACGTGGCTTGACTCCAGCCCTTCTAGTGAGTTCTCGTGGCGTTCTCCTTCCTTTTTGCGTGTTGAGCTTAGAAAGGAGGCTGCGGTTGGAGAGAGTGACAGCCAACGACCCGCTTTGGGAGGCAGAAGAAGCCGCTGTCCCTTGGTTGTGCGAGGACGGGGCTCGGCAGCTCGGGCTGCGCTGGATCCTGGCCCTGCCGCGCCCTCAGAAGCCCGGGCTGCTGCCTCCGCCGGTACAGGTGTGCTGAGCCCGGCTGCGGGAGGCCCGGCAGCACCCTGCTGTAACCAGGGATAAAGACCAGGGATAAAGCAGCCCCTGCTCCTGGGGAGGGAAAAGGAAAGATCTCGTGACCTGGCTTTAATGCTGCCCTGTCGATAATCTGTGCTTTATCCGTGTTTGGAGAGTTGCTTTCTGCTTGAAGGCTTGGTGAAATCTCCTAATTCCAGTACAGCAATTATAGCAGGATCATCAGTGTTGCATTAATAAGCTTGTTTGCTCTAGAACATGCGTTTCAGCTAAGGTCAAATCTCTCCTCTCCTTGCTTAGGAAGTGCAGCCTGTAAGTAATGTGAGATATTTTGAGTACTTTCTGACCTGGCATCTGTGGTTTCTTTTTCTTTTATGGGTCTCATCTGAATAGAGATGCTCCCGGGCATCTCTAGTTAGATTGAGCCAATCTGTTTGCTCAGGGAAGGACGGTAGCAATCCACCCAGCAGTGTCTCTGCTACCTGCAGCTGTGAGGAAATCCAGCTGGGATCCCTGGACCTGGTTTTAGAGTAGCACAAAGGACCAGGTGTTTCCAGATAAGAGGCTTTTGATTAGCACGCAATTGACCTCCCCTGGTAAAACTGTCTCTGCAGCACTGCATGCCTTCTGCATAAGCTTTGAGTCATCCCTGGGTAAGATAAGCTCCTGTGGAGTTTTAGGAGCTCTTCTGCAGCAGGGAAAGAAAGTAATAGCGCTGTAGCTGTAGTGAGCCCTCATCTCTCAGCCTCACAAGGGGAAGCCAGGAGGCTGCCTGGCCTGTTGTCAGTTAAGAAATTCTCAGGGCAAATCCCAGCACTTCTGCTTTCTAATCACTTTGCTTTGGAGGACTCAAGTTGATACTGTTATGCAAGGAAAGGAGTTCCTTATAGGTTACTGTGTTCCAGGACACAGAATGAGTGGATGTCATCATCCTCCCAGTGATGTAAATTAATAGGAAGTATGATGTGTGTTTCAAGCCTTCTGGAGGTATGGAAGCCCCCAAACAGTATGGCAAGGGAAATAAAGGTGAATGATGAGTATGAAGAAAGCAATTACTAGTGAAATAACAGTTTTAATGGCAGACAGAGTGTGTGTAGAGCAGGGCAAGCGGTGCATCAAATGGGTAGGAAGAGAAGGAGAGTATGAGCAGATGTTTAAAATGAGGAATTTGGATCTTCAAGCAAGAGAATAGCATACAGCAAGGACAAAAAGAATAGAGGGAGGATTGGTGTTACTGAAGTTACCTTAAGGTTGTGTGAAGGATTGCAGCCTGAGCAGCTGTCAGGGTGTTTAGCAGCTGTGTGTTGATTACGGAAGCAGGAAAGTAAGGGGAGACTTCCAACAGAAGGGGCAAGGTCAAATTTGGGGGTTGGACCAAGTGACCTTCTGAGTTTGTTCCAACCTTGACTGTTCTGTGACTGTAGAATTTCAAGAGTAGGAAAAGGTCATAATTCTTTTCTGTGGCAGTTCAGCTTATGGACTTCCTAAGCTGATCCACCTTTCTGGCTAGGCAGCACAGGTATCACTGAATTTAAGTGATGATTTACTTTGGAGAGATGCTGCTCTATGTTTCTCTCTGTTAAAGAGCAAAAATATGCTCATATGCTTCAAGTACCAATGTTCCTCTGTTTTCTGTTCTCTCAGAAAAGCATTGCAGAGGTAAAGTCTGTTTCAATCCTTGTTAAAACAAGAAATGCAAATACTCTCCTGATTCTTATATAAGGCTCCAAAACATATGGTGGCTTATGGAGATAAATGCATCTGCTGTTACAGCTACTGTGTTAATGTATGCTATCAGTACAAAGTCTTTGGCTGTTAAACTGGTGTTTAGCAGCATGAGAAAATGCATTTGTTTGGCTCGTTTTGTGTAAAAGTTAAGCGTCTTCCATGCCTTTCAGCTGTGCTCTAGCATGTTTCTGGTGTGAGTTAGTATTGTCTAATAATTAGTGTAAATGCTTTGAACACCGTGAAAACCGCAACAAAGTGGGGAAATTGGGAAGCTGCTGATACTCAGCTCTTGTGCGTTCTAGGGATTTTCTGCAATCAGATAGTTTGCATGTTTGAAGCTGGAATACAGTGCTCAGGGTGAAGCAACTTTTCTGCTGTTTATACAAGCTAGAAATCTCTAATCCAGGCAAGTTCAAATTTCATACTGAAAGCTGTGTGTGTGAGCAAGGCATAGTTGTGCAGGCTCTAGGTGTTGCTTGCAGGTAGGTATTGGATGCCTCTACCCAGCATAGGGCAGGTGAGCTGCTGTGGTTTTATTTCTTCTGGTGGTTTTATTTCTTGTGGTAATAGCTGTACACAGTCCTGTATTTCTAATTTGCCATGACTCATGAGCATTACCTTATTGGGTCTGCTGCAGTGGCATGCGTGCTCTGATCCCCTTTGCCATAGAGCAAGCCATCGAACAGAAAGGACTTCTCTCTCTGTGTGAGATGGAAGGGGTGCACACACAGAGAAATGTTGCAGAGCTGCTGATGTGAGGTAACTTACCTGCAGTAAATTCCAATGTCATTCCTGTGACTTTCACTGAGACACAGCCACCATTTAAGATGTCTAATTTTAAAAGGACAGGCTCACTTAATAGACTTGCAGAGGCATGCAAGAAATAAAGTACCTCAGTAAATGATGGCTATGTGCCATGCTGATTTAAACATAATAGATGTTAAGAGTGTATTCAAAGGTCGCCTTTTAGTTTATATAAAGTTGTTAAAGAATTGTCTGGCTAAATGGCTTAGGTTTTCTTGTGCAGACAAGGATTAAACTAGATGCTGTAAACCTCAGAGGTAGCCATAACTAAGAGATCCTTTTCCAGGAGGAATAGAATTCTATCCCACTTTGATATACACCCCCTTATGAATAATTCTTTGTAGGTATTTTGATTACTTTGCTAGTTCCTTTAGCATGGCACCAAGAGCAGACAACTTTTCGGGCTCTGCTGATACCTCTCGTGTATGTGTTAGGCAGTTTGCTTTCTAGAAGTGCATTCCTTACTTTCCTATTTCTTGGAATACCTAGACTTTGTCAGTTGGCATCTTATCTCTTGCATCAGGAGACACTGAGACTCATCGCTTATGAAACCAGGAGTCTGAGTTCTGGGTTATGTGCTGAATGTTTGTGCTATCAGTGTACTGGAAATTGGCTCCTAGTGAAGTGGGGAGATGTGCTGTTGATCCTGTTGCAACATCCGTGGTTTCAACATCATAATCGTGAGAATGTTTGCACATTAAAAACATTGGCAATAGATAAGTAGAATAAAAGTGGCTAAGGGGGATGGAGAAGTGCTCCACAGCACTTCTCTCAAAGGAGGTTCTTTGGAACAGTAATATGTCTGTAACATCATGTAGAAGGAAATAAAAGGGCAATCTGTTTTTTGGTTTAACTTGTAGAAGTTTCCTTTCCATACAGCATGAAATCTCTCTGCTGATGATTTATCACTCTAATCTAACAGCTAAAGTCTACTTTTGTTTCAGAATCATGCCAATACAAGGTCTGTTTGCTGATGTATTTGAAAAAACCCTACTCTATTGTCAAATTCAATATTTAGCAATGTAAGTTTTAATTTAGATGCATGTTTTCATTGACTCCATCCATAGATACAGCAATGGTGGGTTGCTCTTAACTGTATTTTGTTAAGAATAGGAAAAACAGACTGTCTCCTGTGCAAGAGTTCAGTATAATTCTTAAATTGGCTTGGAAGAGCTCTTGCTCTTCCACTTGAAGTTTCACTTGTGACTTGTATTATTTCTGCCTGTTGTGGCCTTGAAACCTTTGATGTATTTGCTTTAATGTGGCATTCAGGTTTAAAAAGTGAGTACTGAGACAACGAACTTCTGAGGATCTCATCAAAATCCATAGCAGAGCACATAGGTCAGCTTTGCATATCTTAATGTGTGGTTTCCTGGCTCACTCTGTGAGCTGAGCAGGGGAGTTGGTTTGTATCCTTGGGCTTCCTCTCCTATGCTGATGGCTGGAGACATCAGTGAGAAAATGGGAGAAGTAGAGAGAAATTGGTATGTGGAAATTACTGTAAACTTCCGTTGTGAAAATAGATCCAAAACAAAAACGATGATGAGTTTTTTGGTCTTTTGGGAAAGAGTTCCTTACCGGAAAACATGAAAGTGCCTTGTTGTGCTGTTCCAGATGGCACAAATACTGTGGATTCTGTGCTAAGGCTTAAAAACGAAATGTCAAGTGACCTTTGTTTCTGGACACGAGAAGTGCAAATAGGCACTGAGTTCAGTTAAACTGTATTTTTAATATTTCTTTTGCTTCTCTGTGATTTATCAATGGCCAGCCATGCAGAACTCATAAGGTAATACATTAAGGATCTTTCCAAGATTGTGCCATTTCTTAACAGCATGGAGAGCCATAAGAGGAATTAGGAAATCCTAGCACTTGAGAATGAGTTAAATATTTTCCTATCTACCAGCTTTTGGGAGTTTAAACCATAGCTTGTTTTAACCTTGCTCACCTAACTATTAGATTTTGTTACAAGTAACGTGTGTGTGTACAAACATCAGGTATTTC